GCAGGATATATGTATATATATATATATCTATGTGTGTATATATATGTATATAGATTTGGGGGCTATATTGGGGCTATATTGGGATATTGGAAAAGAAAATGGAAACTACTGTTTAGGGTTCAGGGTATAGGGGATATACGGGCTATATTGGGGATATATTGGGATAATGGAAAAGAATATGGAAGCTATTGGTTCAGGGTAGTGTTTATGGAGGAAGTCTTGCACCACCCAAGATTCTTTCCTGTAGCGATTCGGGGACTTGGGGGTGGCGCAGCATTTCCCCCAGCAACAGTGGGCGCGACCAGGGCGTTTATGGACGTGTAAGGCCTATAAAAACTTTGGGCTGATATGAAGGGAGCTTGTCACTGGGTTCAGATAATGACCATGTAGGTTTCGAATTTTCGACAGGAATCAAGCAGGGACGAAGAAGGGCAGAGGGGTTCTGTGCAGATGGAACTGAGGGAGGGGGTTGGCTCTTGGATGTCTTTCAATTTTTCAAAATAACCTAGGACATCTTCGGACCCCCACTACTATTGAAGCCATTGGCCTTCCTTATTTGGGTCTAGATGGGTAGTAGGGTACCAGGCACCAGGTAGTGGGTTTCCTGGGAGTCCCTAGGAAGATAGTAAGCCGCAGAAATACATGCTGGGATCTGCTGGGAGAGTTTATCCGGAAGACTGCCCTTCTTGTAGAACGTGGCCGGATTGCATGGGGCTGCATAAGCTCATGGCCCAATACTTGCGGGGCACACTAAATCTGGGAAAGCTCCATGCCAATTGTCCTGCTTCAGGTCCTAACAATCCTCAGCAGTACTATAGTAATGCTCCGCGTACACTACTCCTCGTAAACTAATTACTTTACTTGACTTGTAGGCCCGTAAGCATTCTCAACCTTGTCCGCCCAAAACCGCTCGATCCGGAGTTCCTTGGATCACTTCAACGCTCACGCTCCAAACCCCCCTGAGCACGTTACTCGCACACTCGTAAAAGCCATCCAGCCCTTCAAACCCATAAATCCCCAAACTCCCCCGGACCCTAACATATTCCTGAAACCGTTCCTCAACCCCTACACTTCCCAAGACCCACACCTTCTTCCACTCCAGCGAGAAGAGTAGACGGCCCGTACCGACCCAGCTGAGATTGACTCCGGCGTCCTTCAGGAAGTACCTGGGTTTCGATTTTGCAGCTTCGGTTTTGTGGGCTTAGGTTTGTCGGGTCTAGGACTTAAGCTCTCAGGCTTTAGCTTCTGGATATAACAGGATTGCAGAGGTCCTCAGAACGGTGCGTTCCTTCTTAGATTACAGACTGCTGCGAACTTGCACGGGTAATGTAGGAACATGTTAGGTTAAGAGCTTCCCAAATGGGTTTAAAGTTTAGAGTCCTGGTTCACTGGAACTGTAGAGCCTGACACCTATAGACGGCTTGCAAGAAAGTATAGCAGAACACATATTTGATGTAGAGGTTCTCAGCTCAGGCTATATTGTGTGTCTCAATTGGTGCTGCCCTTACTCGCCCATGAATGCCAGGACTCAAGGGACCTATTGCTTTGAGAACTTCCAAAATATGTATCCCTGACGAGCTTCAAGTCCAAATACCAAAAAATCGAGCGGATCTACTGTACGCTTGTGAACTGCCCGCATCGACTATGATTTTTCAAGTTAGGGGGGCCCCAACGTACACCCTAATATACCATAATCCTTATTATAGGGACCTCCTAGAAGGTACCCAAAGTTTGGGAAACCCCAACGGAGGCAATAGCCAAGGCTTCGTACATCAGTTTGGTCCCTATAGAATCCCTTAGTAACCCGCTTAAGGAGTTTAGACTGTGGTACAAGTAAATCTGAAGTAAGCTCAAGCGCTGGAAAATCCAGTGGTAGCGGCCAGGCTTCGTGTAGAGAATAGACCAGACCTGAGCTGCCCTAAACCCTGCCCCTACACCCTAAACTCAGTTGCAGTGGAAACCCGAGAGTTGGATGTGCGAAGACCTGAGAAGAGCGAACAGTTTATTAATGCTCCAACTTTATGGAATTTACTGGGGCTTCATAAGGAATCTAGCACCACAACATGCCGTCCGTGTATGGCAGACTCTGAAGGTGAGGCTGCAAAGCCTTCTGCATGAAAACCAGCATACTGTTGACAGTAAAAACCTGACTCTGGTCTGGTGTGGTGTACAGAGGCTTTGTAGGAACTTCAGTACTAACTCTAAACCCGATAGCCCCCTTAAGTAGAAAAAATATGAGGTATATGGGCATCTTACTATAATATACCCAAAGCCATATTCTATCTACTTAAGGGGGACTATATGTAGACATATACTAGCACTAAGTAATACCTATAACTTGGGTCATTCCCCCCTACAGTAACTGTTACCACAATGGGTTATAGGAGTTATAAGACCCTTAATACGGCCCCTTTAAGGACAGTTACTGGGAGGGGGAATGACCCAACCTATAACCCTGTTTTCAGTCCAGGGCAACCCTGAGGATTATTACCATCGCCCGGCTGACCTTTGGAAGAAACTTTGGGCGGCCTGGAGGTTGCTACTTCGGGTAGAAGATAGAGGTGTATGTACGGGTATGATGGTTGCAATAATGGAAAAAAGCTGGAAGGTAGCAGTTGGGGTTTAGGGTGTTTAGGGTACCCATCATGGAGAATCAGAATGAGAAGGAAGTGGGAAATGGGATTACATGGGGGTTTGTAAGACTTGCACTTGGAAGGAGCATGGGGAGGTCGTCAAAATTGTGGTCCCTTTTTAGGGTACCCTTAGTGTCAGGGGCCGTATTAGACTAGGGACCCAAACTTGACAATGATTTTGCCCATTTACCATATATGCACAAAAAAACAAAGTGAGCTTATGTAGGGGTATTTAGGGTTATATAAAGCATGTACATGGATATACATATATAGAGGAAGCGGTATATAGGGGCGCAGTTTTTTGAGGGAGGGCTTTATGTAGCCCCACTGTACAAAGACGGTAGTCTACACAGGGCCCACCTTTGGTTTTCCATGTTAGTTTGGGAGAGGGTCCTGGGTCACGGCAAGGCGCTAAGGATCTGGGTCCGCACGAATGTTCCTGCTATCTTTGCAAAAAACAAGAGCCTTGAAGGCTTGCTTTTTAGAGTCTAGCGCGCCTTATCAAAATCAGTGGTCCTTATAAGGATCCTTATCAAAATCAATGGTCCTTATAAGGATTCTGAAGGCCTGCAAACCCAGGTAAGCTGAGCAAACCTAGCATGGGCATCTACTCGAGGTCAGGCCCTACTTCATGGAAATCCTCAAACCTCAATGCATAAACATGTGGGTGGTTGTCAAAATTATGGTCCCGCTTTGGGTACCCTAAATACTAGGTGCCGTATTATAATAGGGATCCAAAAAGGGACCATAATTTTGACAACCACCCATGTGTATATATAGATACATATGTAGATTTGGTAGTTTTCATAGTTAGGGGACTCACTAAAGACCTCAAAATACTATAGTCTGCATTGTAGGAACCCCCGAACATGCAGCCCCCCTCCCAATTTTGGACCCCCCCCCCCTCAATGCATATGTCATAACGCATGCCTACACTCAAAACTGCCCAAACTGCTGCCATTTACCATGAGCCAACCCTGCCCCTCTCCTCTCAATCAACCTGCGTACCTGGAGTAGCCAAGACCCTTGAAAAGGTAGAGATACCAAAATTTTGGTACAAAGCCCAATTCTATGGGTACCCTCGTGGACGTGGGTAGATCCCAGATGTAACTATGCTAATACCGAAGCTTCACTCTTGGAAGCTGTGGTTCAGAAAGCCATGACATGTGCACATACCCATCATGTCAAAGCTTTCCAGGTAGGTGTTCTGCAAAACACTGGGGTTACTTGTAGTGGCAGTCATAAGTGCTTGCAGGGTTTTAAGAGTTATAGTTTTGATTTTCCTGCCTAGTGTGAAAGCTGAGAAGGAAGCCTCTTATGGCAAGATCATCAGTCCGGGCTGCAGAGAACCAGTTGGTCAGCTGAACTGGATACCCCTTCTCCTTGCGCGCCAGAATCTTGATAGGATCTTGCGGGGATCTGAAAGGGTCGGCAGAGAGGTTTGGCTGAGTCTCTTCTATCAGGACCTTGCAAACCCTAAACCCTAGGTGTTTCCTGGGGTTGTATGGGTTTAATCCGACAGGCTTTGGCTTCAAGTTGTTCGTTGTGAATCCTGTCCCCCTAATAGTATCCCCCGCACCCCCCTTATATTAAACACTCCCATTATGTGGTATATCATAATATAATGGGAGCATTTGACATTAGAGGGGGTGCGGGGGATTATTTGTCCGTGTCGTTCAGACTCATGTACAGCAAAAATGAACCCTCGCGGAGCCCCGTTGCATGGAAACAGGGTGGGTCCACCTCGCTTTACCCACCAACCGTGAGCACTAGGCACCATGGATTTTTTTTTTGTGTGTGTGTGTGTGTGGGGGGTCCGTATATAAAACTACCCCTACCCCACATCATACTGTTGAAGGTTGAGGATATGCATCTGCAGCGCATGTCGAGAACTCCCATGCAGCGGGCTCAGCCCTCCTCGAACTTCTTGTTCGCAGCCTGCGCGGTCAGCTCAGCTCAGGTAGCTTGTAGCTTTTACCGAGTCATGAGGAACAGCCATTGGGGATGGGGGGTCTTGAGCATTCCGCTTTCCAGCAGTCAAAACCCTCACAGAGGTCTTGGTACAGGTGGCTTTAAGCACACCTGGGCACAATCCAGCCACATGTCACCAGCATGGACCTGGCATTTGTCACATGAGCAGCTATAACCTAAACTTCTAGAATCCCCCTTCATAAGCCCTATAATAATTCCCTATAGAGTCCCCTATATAACCCTTTTAAGGAGTTTAGACTACCACAACGCACGGCGAGAAACCACAAATTGGCACCGTGCTCTAATTTGCCCTCGTTCTGCAAGTGCTTTGTAGCCGGGTGGGATGCCCACTGATGCAAGAAAGACATTTGAAGTTCCCTAAAGCCTATACCAAGTTTGTGCCCAGAGCCCCTCCATCAACGGTACCCTAACGCTACTCGCTTACCCCTAACAATCAACTCCCCCCAAAAAAAGAAAAGTGTGTCCTTATGTTCTGTTACTTCGAAATCTATTTACAACCCATGAACACCCAATTAGGAGCTTATTGAAATCACTTGAAAAGCCACTTAACGCCTGTCAAATTCTAACTGCTATCAGTCTAAGTTCCAGTTAGAACCTATGTAATGCCCAATTAACCGATTTAAATTCAGATTATACTTCACGTAGTCAATGAAAGCCTAGTCCAATTGAATTAGAACCTAGTCTCGAATTTATATTAGACTTGTTGTACAAAGTTCATGTAAAATCAACAAAAAACCTAGAGCCTAGGCAGGCAATGAGATCTCGAGTCCCTTCTGTTTTTTTAACCAATCGAAGGACCTCAGAACCGCCCTAAATTAATGAATTATTATGAGGATCCTACTTGGCTCTTCTGAAAGTAGTCTCGGCGTCTTTCAAGGTGCTCTTCCAGGATCTTCGGTTCTCTGGCAGGAGTTTTATGATCAGGGTGTATCATTAGGACCCAGAGAAGTGATGATCATCAACATATCCGAAACATAAACCCTAAATTTTATGGGCTGTATTGACCCTGAGCCTCTAAGGAAGCCCTGGCTGATGACAATCCCCATAAGCCATAAACCCCAAGTACGAATTTCAGTTTGCATTTCATTGACCACGGTCTTTCCCGGTTTATTCGCCATTATCAAAGCACAACTCCCTAAACTCCAAACACTGAACAGTAAATCTAAATAGCAATAGCCATTCCTTCTCCACTGCACCTATATGAAACTATATAGTTCCTGAAGGGGCTATATATCCCCTGTGATCGGGTGATAATTACCGTGAACGTCCAAGTGAGCCGGTTCCTTGCTCTCTGTTCTACCGGGCTCTCTGAGCTTCACGTGTGTTAGGGTTTAGGGTTTAAGGCTTAGAGTTCAGGGTTCACCATACAATGCAGTGAGGCACAGAAACAAAAAAAGGAACAACAACAAAAAAAAAACTGTTGGTTCCAATTCCGGGGGCCCCTAGAGTAAGGGACATGCAATATGTCAAATTGAACCCTAAACCCTGG